TTGAATTTAGGGTTTAGATATACTCAATTCCTTCACACCAGCTTTGACGATGTGATTGAGGTAACATTTATTTTCTTAATTAAAACGTGAAATTGTTTCCCCACATGCACAATTTTAATTTTGTCGATTTGTTAGAAATTGCCGTGCAGAAAGGAAGAGGGAGAGGTAGACAAGGAGGAAAAAAAGAGGAACATATGGAATCTTTGGTTGGAGAGATACGCGAACAGGCAGAGTTTTTTTTTTTTTTTGGATCCATTCAAATCAGTATTACTCACTTATTTGAGACCATATTATTTTGTCCTTACGGATAAGATTGGGTCTAGCAAAAAAAAAAAAGTTCCCGGTGAATTAATATTCAAATTCTCATGAGGAAATGTGCTTAAATTTAGTATCTAACAGTGTCGTGAATAGGATTACTTTTAATATGAAGATACTTATACGTAGAAAAAAATATTTTGCCTTTATAGAGAAAGAGAGCAAATCATAATATCAACACACGCTTCAAATAAATATTAATATAAGATATAAAAAAATTGAGAAAAAATTCCCATAAATATGAAATAAAAGAATTAAATATGTTTATACTTTTCAAATTTTATTTAGATAAAGTTACATTCAGCCCCACTCTTGAAATACTTAGATTAACTTTTTTCTAACTAAATTAGTGCTCTATCCAGTATTTTTTTATAAAGGGTGAGTACTAATATGCCAGTGCACAAACATGTCATCCTTTCATAACGTTACAGTGAAGCGTGTTTGTGAGTATTTGCCATGGAGAACAGAACTGGAAATAAATTAAATATGGTGCACTTCTTTTTTGATGCAATTTTTTTAGTTCATTTATTTTATTAATTCCTTAAAATGATGTACAAACTGAAAAGGGGAATTGTGTAATGTGGCCCATCCTTACTTTTTGGGGGTGCTTATCTTTGTTTCCATTTTATGTGTAGGTCTCCTTTTACTTTTCCCCGAGAAGCACCGAACTCGATTTATTGTGAATGTATAAATTGGTGGTATGTCACTCATAATAACCCATGAGCAGGCATGGCAATTTTTTTTTTTTTGGAAAAAAATTAGGTGAACAGATCAGTACATGCCTTTTTAAATTTGGTATCATCGATATGTGATTTATATTATTGAATTTACGGACAAAAGATTTATCATCTCTGTTGGATTAAGTAAGGAGTTAATGCAAATTAAAAACAAATAACAATAAGATCACGAAAGTAAATATTCTCACTTCAAATATAATCCATAAAGGTTTACTTTTTTTTTTTTATGCAAAAGTACTTACAAATCATTTATTAATGATACTTTTATATTAGTAGTGGGATTTGATTTTACCATTTTATTAGTTATGAGCCAATTCTTTACTGTATCCTCCCAGTGTTTTTTTATATGTTTGAAAATAAAATTTAGTCATAACATAAGTGACGGAAAATATGCACATGCCTTGTTGAACTAGTTACTCCTCCAATCCTTAATATAAAACCTAATTATTGAGTTAGTTTTGGTCCTAAATATAAGACTCATTTATCATATTTATCAATTTTATCTAAATTATCTCTATGGATATTTCCTCAACTATAATCAAGTAGAAGAAGGAGAGGGAATATTAAAAAGATGATTATGGTGTTTTAGAAAAAACATGTTACTTTTTTTATAATTAACTAATTTATCTAACTTTTTAAATCTAATCAAATTAGTTAAATAGATTTTATATTAAGGATCGGATAAGTGGGAAGGATACAAAGTTTAAATGGAACATGTTGGTGGTATTGTACGGATTGAAGCTGAGTTTGTGCGACACGTGGGAAGAAGAAGAGCATGGAGAAACGCAAAAGGCTTCAACATCTTTAGTGCGATAATAATGACGATTTTGAAGATTCGAATGTCTGGCTGTGAAAAATGCAAATCAGTTATCAGCGTTATGTCAAATTGTCAATCACTTTGTACGGACGAGGCAACTCATTATCAGGTTTTTTTTAGTATATTTAATATTTTAAAACATTTTATGATATATTTGACACTTTAACATATTTTTATATAGGTATAGTATTTCGAAATATTTTTAGATATATCTAAAAAAATTTTAAAATATTAAACATATCATAAAATATTTTAAAATACTAGATGCATTTGAAAAAATATTTTCATCTGAAGACGCCTTAGCCCAATTAACAACTAGCATATATTTGTAGCTGGCTCAGGTAATTCTTTAATTACCACAAACCATAAATGAAATCATGTTATTTTGTTTGTGATATTAGAACTCAACTCAGTTTGAGGTGTTCGAGTTGACAAGTAAATGGATGATCTAGTTCGCTGAGAATTTTAGACGAATTCATTAAGTTAAATTTATATTCTCTCTTTCTTATTGAGTTTGAAATAACATTTTTTTTGTTGAAAAAATAATAGTCAATCAAATTTATGTTTTAATACTGTAATTCTGTATTGTTAGACTCTGTATAATGTGGTATTTTAACAGTAAGTTGATTCCGATTTGAATTGCCGTCGTAATCTACTCAATGATCAATATCTGTATTTTTGGTACCTTCCAAGTCTGATCATATGTTTCTCAGAAGTTAGTGAACTGAGAAGACAAATGCACAATAAGTATTGGAGGTATTACTATTAACTGAGGGATATACGAGTGAATTGCAGGTGACAGTTAATCAGGAAACTAAGTTTGGTTATTTGGGTGAAGTCCCACCAGCACAAGAATATTCAGAGTGAGGGCACAGTCATTCCTCGGACAATGAGGCAGCTAATCCCATCATTACTCTTTTGAATCTTTTCTCCCCAATCACACGCATACAATAGGACTCGTGTGCACAATTTTTTTCTCCTTTTTTTTTGGCGGGGGGAGGGGAGGGTTTATGATAATTTTATGGAGCAATTTTTTATCACAAAAATATTTAAAAATAATTTATTTTATTAATATAATTATTATCATGAAAGATATAATATTCTTTGGGCAAAATGATAAATAAAGCCACTCTTTGGAGATAGTAAATATACTTATTATCATGAAGGCCACTCTTTCATGTGAAAATTCTTAAGAGAAAATAGCAAATAAAGACCTCTTAATATGTGAAATTATGATTTAAGACTCTCAATTTAGAAAATAACAAATAAAGATCTGGTCTCATATTACAAATATAAAATTTTGGTGAAATGTCTAAAATACACCTTAGCCAAATAATAAGTTGATTATGGGAAGTGACAAGTTCACTTTAGCGAATATCAATTTTAGTAGACCAAATCACAACTTAGCTGAGGGTATGCCAAATGATAAGTTGATTATAGGAAGTGACAAGTTCACTTTAGCGAATATCAATTTCAATAGACTAAATCACAATTTGGTTGAGGGGTGTTTCAGACATTTTACCATAATTTCATATTTGCAACCTGAAACTAGGTCTTTATTTGTTATTTTCTAACTTTTTTCATGAAAAAAGTTGGGAAAAAAAACATTATATATCTTTGTTCCCAGTTCTCACTTGCATTATAAGGTCCAAAAGGGAATCCATAACATATGCAGCCGGCAATTATTGATTGATGTTATGGATTGATTCTGTCCGTGTGTGTACACATATATGTGTGTGTTTTTCCTTTATTCCGGACCTTTTTTTTTTCCCCTCTTTATTAGAGACGATAGAAACATTTCTTGGCAGGGTTTTAACTTTAATAATTCTGACTTGATAGAGATTAGTCTCAAATCTAAAATGACTTGAGAATACTCTGAATTATATTTAAAAAAAAAAAACAAAGACAATAGGTATATTCAAACACTAGCTATGGACACATCTCGAGATTTGATTCGTTACCAGGGACTAACATTTTCTTCTTAACCCAAATTCTCTTTGAATATTCTAGGTTGCTTCTAGTGCTGCATTGTTAATCAACAACTGTGCAGGCGTGTGCATGTATTATAACCTGGGACTAGGAGTATCCTTTGCTTATACTACATATGGCGTGTATGTATGTGTGTGTATATATATATATATATGAACTATTTAACTAATTTGATTAGAATAAAAATATTAATTAAATTAGTTATTTGTATTAAATATAAGTTGATTTTACTAAAGTATCTTTTTAATCATGACTACCCTTAGATAGAAACCCTCTTAATATATGTAACTATCATGAATATTTTAGAAAATAAATTATAAATTTAGGAGATATAATGGATTGATGATGTTTTATATCTATGATTGAATCTAATCCACAACAAGCTCTTACATTAAAAAATCAGAAATAGTACTAGAGATTAATAATCATCCTTGAATGTGAAGGGTAAAAGCTTGGCTCCTTCCAACCAAGTTTACTTCACGCAGGAGAGTTAAAAATTGAATCTTAATCACTTGTTTAAGAGATGAAAATCCTACCCATTATGCCGAATTAAGGTGGCATTGCAATGGCATTTTTTAATTAGCAATAGAGATCCAATTAATTGATAGACAAAGCCAACGCAATTTGGTTCCTGAATTGAAGTATTTTTAAGCATACCGAAATAATCATCAAAATATAAATCATAAAACGACAAATGTGGGCAAATCAAATATGGAAGAAGTTGATGGGATGGGAGCAGTGAGTAATAATGCCTGCCAAACTTCAAAATGAACGTCGAACATCTGAAAAGAGAATAGGAAGAAATTGAGTATTCATGGCATGTCCAAGGGGATGTTTGGTTTTAATCGGAAAAAAAGTTTTAAAAAATATTTTTTCATAAATTGAAACAAAATTCTTTTTACATGTTTACTTCATTTACTGTAAAATTATTTTTAAAATTATAGTTTAGTTAAATACTCTCTAAATCTTACATTATTAATTGAATTTCACTTTCAAAACCAAGTAGACTCAGTTTCAATTCTACACACATACAAGCACAATACTTGAAGAGAAAAACCAAGCTTTCTCCAAAACTTGGAAATCTTGAAGCTATAACAGGTAGACCTCTCTTTTGATACACTAGCAAGGATCACCATTACAATTCAACAGAGAGCTATTCTCAGGCTTTTCACGACATCCTTCACCGATACACTGTAGTCCTCACTCATCTGCATATCACATAAATTACATATACATAGACGTCAAATTATTATAAAAGCGTCAAATTAATTATTTCCAAATAACATATATAGCGTCGTGTGATAATGTAGATATTGTACCTGAGCAACAACGGTAACATCAAGAGTAGAGGAGCCAAATGGAATAACACTGTTACCAAAGACGTTGAGGTTAAGATTTTTGAGCTCATCAAGTATTTTAAGCATTATGCAGTCCTGTTTCTTGCAGAGGATTCTGATGAGCACTTGTTTGTCGTCGGACATTCTTGCTTTGACATCGGGGAGTACATCGTTGATGGGTGTGTACCTGTCGCCGGAGTTCACTTCACTCGACGCCGGCGTGCCTGCTCCGTCAATATCATCATCATCATCATCTGCGGACATTATCTTTTTCTTCTCTTGCTCAAGTTCCTTCACGCGTTCTTGAAGCCTCTTCACGTAACTTATTGCTTCGCTCAGTATAGACGCCTTGTCAATCTACGCACAAATATTTAATATAGGAGACATGTTTCATATACATGGAGCTTCGTATAAGATCCTCATAAAATCAACTAGGCGATAGACATAGTGCTAAGTAGGTAAGGTACGGAGTTGTGACCTTTTTCAAGCCAGGGATGGTGGCCGAAAGTGCTATGAACTTTTCTGTGAGCTCCTGCCTCCTTCTTCTCTCAGCCATTATGTGATCCATTGCCCCAGCACCGCTTCTGGATTTCTTTGTTCCTCTGTTCATCGATGGTTCATCGTTAAGCATTTCAATGGTCCGTTTGGGCTTCAAGGAATAACTACGGACATCCTTGCTCTGGTGCGAATGATTATAACTGGGGTCTGGGATATCTGGAATCACAACGGATTTCTCGAAAGACAGAACGCAGGCGGTCGGGGTTGTTGTTTCAGAAGCTAAATGTTGAGAGTTAACGACGGAGTTGGAGTTGGCTAAATTGCCGGTGGTGGCACCGCCGTCCGCCACAGTGGTGGGAGGCAAAATGGCTTCACTTTCTGAAGATAGATTAGTCGGGTCCTGGAGGATATCTCTAAGCAAATACTCCGCTTCTTCATTATGATCTGAGTTCGTTCCCCAGGAAATATAGTCATTTTCCGTTTCCTTGAAAACAAACAAAGATACAGGCACAGTGATCCGTGAGTAATTAGGGTGAAAACAACACACACCCATGACGATTGAACCAATTGATGATGGAGTATTAATTAAGAGCATATGTAATCAATAAAGAAATAATATATATACATATATACGTAGACACACACACATTTGGACTTACGAGTTCAGAGAGCCAAGCCTCCCAAGACAGCTGGTCCATTGTGTGAGGTTGAGGATAAAACGGAGGCCGTGTGCTTCCATTTATAGCCAAATGGATTTGGGGAGCAGCGCGAACGAAAAGACTAGCTGAACATTGACATTGACGTATTTTTTTCTACATTTTTATAACTAAGAAAGATGTATAAATTGGAAAAATATTCTGTGCGTCTCTGTATATATTATAGGGGAAATCACAAATAAAGACCCTTGAATTAGCAAAATCACTCTATGGTCACCTGAATATGCTAAATTACTATGAGGGACCTGGTCTCAAATTGTAATTATGAAATCAATGGTCAAATTACCAAAATACCCCTCTTTAATTTTTTTTTTTTTAAAAAGAAAGCCACTCCTCACCGGAATCCGGCCCCCGGCGCCGGAGCTCCGGCGGCCGCTTTCCGGCCACTGTCGGCACCGGACGCTGGGGTCCGGCCGCCGGAGCTCCGGCGCCGGCGGCCGCTTCCGGCGGTCTTCCTTTTTTTTTTTTTTTTGAAACTGTTTTTTTTTTTAAATTGGAGGGAAGTGAGGTTGGGGGGATTTGATCCCCCAACCTAATGCTTCCCAAAATAAGGAATGACCATTGAGCCAACAAATTTTGTTAACATTATGATGCAAAAAAAAATATAAGTTAACTCATTTACTCTTGTTCCAGGTGATAACAACAATACATTTGGAAATAACAAGTTCTTATTGTAAATAACACGTCTGGAATAAAAATTTAACAATATGTTTTTTTTATAACAATAAATTTTGTTGCAGGCAATAACAACAATACATTTAAAATAACAAGTTCTGATTATACAATAACAAGTTTGGGATTAAAATTTAATAACACGTTTTTTTATAACAATACACTTTGTTTCAAGTGATAACAACAATACATTTAAAAATAACAAGTTCTGATTATAAGATAATAAGTCTAGGATTAAAATTTAACAACACGTTTTTTTATAACAATTAATTATTTATACTTTTAAAAAATAAATTATTTATAACTTATAAAAAATATTTTTAATATATTTATTTCTCTAAAAAATACTTTTTAATCTGTATATCTATACACTCATTATAAATCAAACTACTTCTTATAAATTATAAAGTATTTATAATAAGGCATTTTTGATTTATTAATCATAGTATAAATTTTATATCATTTCATTCTTTAAATATTAAAAATAGTTTTTATATTTAAAGAATAAAATAGTATTTTTAATTATAAATTAGAGATAAATTTCATTTATAAATTTAAGCAGTCAAAAAGTATTTTTAATCCACAATAATTGTACTATTTATAATTTATAAGAAGTAGTTTGATTTATAATAAGTTGTATAGATATATAGATTAAAAAAATTTTTAAAAAATTAAAAAAGTGTGTTGCCATTTTCCCTAAATTTTATTTAAAAATTTGAACAATAAAAAAGTATTTTTAATCTATAAAAAATTATACTTCAAGTTCTGATTATAAATTGGAGATAAAAATTATTTTTTTAGCAAATTAAATAGATTACAAGTACTTTTTATAAGTTATAAATAATTTATTTTCCAAAAGTATAAAATAATTAATTGTTATAAAAAAAAGGTGCTGTTGAATTTTAATTCCAGACTTGTTATTTTATAATTAGAACTTGTTATTTCCAAATGTATTGTTATCACTTGAAACAAAGTGTGTTGTTATAAAAAAACATGTTGTTAAATTTTAATCCCAGACTTATTATTTTATAATCAGAACTTGTTATTTTTAAATGTATTGTTGTTATCACTTGAAATAAAGTGTGTTGTTATAAAAAAAACGTGTTGTTAAATTTAATCCCCAAACTTGTTATTTTATAATCAGAACTTGTTATTTTAAATGTATTGTTGTTATTGCCTGCAACAAAATTTATTGTTATAAAAAAAAACATATTGTTAAATTTTTATTCCAGACGTGTTATTTTACAATCAGAACTTGTTATTTCCAAATGTATTGTTGTTATCACCTGGAACAAGAGTAAATGAGTTAACTTATATTTTTTTTTGCATCATAATGTTAACAAAAATTTGTTGGCTCAATGGTCATTCCTTATTTGGGAAGCATTAGGTTGGGGGATCAAATCCCCCCAATCTCACTTCCCCCCAATTTAAAAAAAAAACAGTTTTAAAAAAAAAACAAAGGAAGACCGCCGAAGCGGCCGCCGGCGCCGAGCTCCGGCGGCCGGACTCCGGCGTCCTGCCGCCGACAGTGGCCGGAAGCGGCCGCCGGAGCTCCGGCGCCGGTGGCCGGATTCCGGTGAGGAGTGGCTTTCTTTTAAAAAAAAAAAAAAATTAAAGAGGGGTATTTTGGTAATTTGACCATGATTTCATAATTACAATTTGAGACCAGGTCCCTCATAGTAATTTGGCATATTCAGGTGACCATAGAGTGATTTTGCTAATCAAGGGTCTTTATTTGTGATTTCCCCTATTATATAGTCCTCCCACTGTTTTGCAAATCAATATAAGAGTAGTTAAATGATTGAAGTATAAAAATTAATGGTGATTGAATTTGATATTAAATATAAGACTTTAATTATTTGTCAATTATATTTATTATTTTTAAAATAATTTACCTAATTTGTATATTAATATATAATCTAATATTACACAGTATATTTGAGGAAGATTATGTCACACTTTTGCTATAATTAATCAAAGTATTTTGCTAGTTACGCTTAGCATCTTAAAATATTTTGTGGTGCACCCACTTGAAGCATTTTTTATGTGTATTTAGTATTTTGAAATATTTTGTGGTGTGTTTAGCATCCTGAAATTTTTTTTCCATGTGCATCCAACACCTTAAGAATATTAAAAAAAATATTTTATGCACCTGATACACATTCATTTAAGAAACCTTTGAAGGGTTAACGGTAAAATTAAAACTATTCATAAAATAATACTTTAAAAGCACAATTGTTTCTAAAAAATATTAATACTTTAGAGTAAAATTACACAACAAAATATTTTAGGATATTGGATGCATTTCAAAAAATATTTTAAAGTATTAGGTGCATCACAAAATATTTTAAGATGTTGGGCACATCTAACAAAATATTTTAGGATGATGGATGCACCTTAAACGGTTAATTGTTTCATTTATTTATTTTAATTTATCCAAATTAATAAATATAACTTGTATATTTGTCTCTGTTTTTTTTTTTAAAGTATAGGTATCTTATTATAAACAATCTTATTCGAAACACTGTTAGATACTAAATATAAATACCTCTTCTAACAAGAAGTTGAATATTAGTTTATTACGCTGTGAAAAACTAACTCCTGCAATGATAGACCCGATACCGTTGGCTATTTGTCTCAATTTTGTGGGTACGCTTCTGTCTTCTTTTGACTCCCTCGAGAAGCACCCAACTCCAATTATTTTGAATGTAAATTTGGTGGCATGTCAGCAAAGTAAAATGCGGTGTGGTCTATATAAGATGGTAAAATCTCGAGGCAAGGTCAGGCCAAAAAGAAAAAAGAAAAAGTCTCGAGGCAAGGCATTTCGGTTGATTATTGAGCACTGAAATATAACGATCAAGTCTTTTTTTTTTCTAAAAAAAATCTTTAACGCTAAAAAAAATAAAAATAAAAATAAATTTTTAACCAGGAAAAATCGTAAAAACAAATCTTAAAATATAAAAATTGTAACTAAGGACCAGTTTCAACATTAGTATTAGTTTTGATAATAATTGATAAGTAAATGACAACAAATCTTATGAACGGGTCTTTGTATGTAATTTTTTAATTTTTAAGGTCTTTTTTTTTATACTATTTTTCCTTTTAGTTATCCGTTTTTTCCAGAAAAAAATAACCCAAATGATGAGCAGGCATGGCAAAGCAATGTTCATGAGTCGAAATGGCTATATGGGGTTAAGCCCAGCGATGTTTGAATCCTCACTTCGTCATGAGGATACCTGCACAAAAGGGAGAAACAATCAGAGTTGATGTTAATACTTCTTGTCAATTAAGAGGCCATTATGCTAGAATATGTGTGCTGGTGGATTTGGGGAAACAATTGATGTCAGGATTTTCACTTGATGGTGAACAATATTATTTGGAGTATGAGGGTCTGCACATGTTGTGCACCAATTGCGGCACCTACAGCCATAGACATGAGGTTTGTTCAAAGAAAGAAAAGATGAAGGAAGCAAATGAGACTAGGATAGAGAAGCAAAATACTTCTGATCCGCAGGAAAATCTCCATGCCAATACCAGTGTTGGGAGCCAAGAACAATGGCGAATAGTCCAAAAAATTCGCCGGCAACGAAAAAATAGAGATGACAGAGGCGAAGCAACAAGATCGGAGAACAGAGGCTCACGATTTAGCATACTTGCTGACGTGGAAGAGCCTGCACAAGATACAGACACAAATGTAAGACCCCCGCAAACTATTGTACGGGAAGTGGCCATCCTACCTCCTCAACCCCAGCGCACTAACTCTGCTAAAGGGAGGAAGAAAGGGACTCAGAAAAAACAAATGGCCGTTAGTGAAGATATGGGCTATCCTTTATTGTTGCAACCAACAAACGAGATGGTAAAAGAGAAACAGAGTGAGAGAAAAAGCGAGAAAAGAACACGAGAAATGTTGAGGGATGATTGCTTAAGAAGAGATATTAAAAGTGGCGAGATAATGGAGGATAAGGTAGAAGAGGTGAACATGGGAGGAGAGGCCGAGGAAGATAATATGGAGATAGCAAGGGAAGACGGTTATCTGGATCATAATGATCAAGAGCCTGAGGCCCAGCAGTATCCCATGCAAGGGATTGATAATGAAATACGAATAGAAGAAGTGGATACTGGGGACCCTTCTGATGGGCCGAATTGCGTCAGCCCAATGAGGAGTGAGGGAAAGGAAGCCCAGTGCAGTGATGGATCAATTGTGCCTAAGACCCAATTCTTTGACAGGTCTTAATTGTGATCTGTACGTGTGGGCCTTTTGTTGATTTAGTGTTTATGGATAGTATATTATACTGGAATACTAGGGGGTCTTGTGGAAATGGGCTCCTTAGAAACTTGAAGTTAGTGTGCAATGGGCCGAAACTGGTAATGATTTTTCTTGCTGAAACACGGTGCAACAAGGAAAAACGTTTTCAAATGCTGAAGAACTTGGGCTTTGACAATACAAAAGTTGTTCCAAGTGTGGGGGGTTCTGGTGGCTTGGTAGCTGCGTGGAAGAGCAACAGTATACACGTTTCAGTTCTGGAGGAGAATAGGCAATATTTCCATCTGGATTTTCTATTTCGGAGAGGAATCCTTTTCTTCTTACAGCAGTTTATGCAATTCCCCATTCAAACCATCGACAATTACTCTGGGAAAATCTCAAATCTCTGTCAGCTTCGGTCTCGAAACCTTGGACTGTGATTGGAGATTTCAACAATATCATCTCTACAAATGAACGGATTGGTGGTGGTAGAGGCAATATCCAGCGTATGAATTGGTTCCAGCAGCAAATCGATGGTTGTGGGCTCTTTGACTTGGGGTTCAGTGGTTCGAAATATACTTGGAAGGGGCCGAAGGTAAATGGATATGCTCGATTATATGAAAGACTTGACAGAGCACTGGGTAACTCTTCTTTCTTGACAAATATGGCTGATTGTTTTGTTAAGATATTACCCAGAATCTGTTTTTCTGACCACAGTCCTATTGTGTTGCAATTCTTTCAAAAAAGTTTTAGCAATTCAAGACCTTTCCGATTTGAAGCCATGTGGTTAGCTCATGAAAACTTTACGGATTTCCTTAATTTGAACTGGGTTGATGATATTGATATTAATGATGCCTTGCTGTCTTTGCGTGATTCCTTGGTTGTGTGGAATAAGGAGGTGTTTAGTGTCATTGAAAAGAAGAAAAAGCATATTCTTGCCCGTTTAAATGGAATTCAAAACTCCTCCTCCTACCCTTATTCGTCATTCTTATGTAATCTGGAAGATAGCCTTCAAAATGAACTTGAGAGTGTGCTTAAATTAGAAGAGATTAAATGATTCCAGAAATCAAGAACGAATTGGATTTCGAAAGGGGACAAGAATACTAGATATTATCATTTGAAGACTAAATTTAGAAGAAGGAAAAACAGAGTTTTATCTCTGAAAAATGACTGTGGCCAATGGATTGATGATGAGGCTCAACTCAAAACTCTGGTTATTGATTATTTTAAAGAGCTTTATAAAGAGGAGGAGGATAGTCTCTCTGTTCTACAGACTGATACAATATTCCCTTTCATTGAAGAACTTAGATCCCCTCAGATGAGAAGCATACCTTCTGATGATGAAATTAAAGATGCCCTCTTCTCTATGGGTCCTTATAAAGCCCCTGGTTGTGATAGGTTCTCTCCTATTTTTTATCAATCAAATTGGAGTAAGGTGGGTGCCTCTATTTGCAGTTTTGTCAAAGATGTTTTTAAAAGCACAACTACTTTAACTGAGGCTAACAAAACTCTTATTTCCCTAATTCCAAAGAGGGATAACCCTGTTATGGTGAGTCACTTTAGACCAATCTCCTTATGCACAATTCATTATAAGTGTATTACAAAAGTGATTACTAGCAGATTAAGGCATTACATGGATGATTTAGTGTCTCCCAATCAAGCTAGTTTCATCAAAGGAAGGCACATACAAGATAATATTATTGTGGGGCAAGAAATTTTGCATTTAATGAAGAAATCTAGAGGAAAGAGAGGAATCATGGCTTGGAAAATAGATCTGGAAAAAGCCTATGATCGAATCAAATGGGATTTCTTAAAACAGACACTGGTTGATACTGGGATGGAGACTGATTTCATTAACCTCATCATGGCTTGTGTTACTTCAGTTTCTTATAATGTGTTGTGGAACGGCTCACAGACTGATTTCTTTTCTCCTGGAAGGGGATTAAGGCAAGGGGATCCTATTTCTCCCTTGTTGTTTGTTCTCTGCATGGATCGTTTATCTCATGTCATCTATGATGCTGTCAATAGGAAAGATTGGAAACCTGTGAAGATAACAAAAAGGGGACCTTTTATTTCTCATCTAATGTTTGCAGATGATATCCTTCTTTTTGGAGAAGCTACAAAAAAACAAGCTGGCTGCATGTTAAATTGTTTGAATAGATTTTGTGATGCTTCAGGCGAAAACTCAACAAAAGCAAATCTTCCATCTTCTTCTCGCCAAAGGTACCAGATCTTACTAGAAGGAGAATTTGTAGTGCTACAGCAATGTCTAATTCTGCTGAAATTGGAAAGTACCTTGGTATTCCAATCATTAGAGGGAGGAATCCAAGGAATACTTTTAGTTACATAATTGATAATGTCAAGTCGAAGCTTGCCTCATGGAAGGAAAACTGTTTGTCTACAGCGGGTAGGATTACACTTGCAAAGTCTGTGATTAGTGCTATTCCTTTATACCCAATGCAAGTTGCCAAAATTTCCTTGTCAATTTGTAATTAGATTGAAAAATTGCAAAGGAATTTCATTTGGGGAACTAGTCATAAAGTTCACGGATTTCATCCTATTGGATGGGAACAAGTCTTATTGCCTAAAAATCATGGGGAACTAGGATTTAAGAGAATGACTTCTTTAAACCGTGCGTGTGGAGCAAAATTGGCCTGGAAACTTATATCTGGGTCGAAAGGACTTTGGGTGGAGGTCTTATCTAATAAATATTTGCTCAGGAATGAGGTCAATCTGCTTGACGCAAAAAATGGGGATTCCCCTTTTTGGCAATTTCTATCACAACAACAGGAAATTGTGGACTTAGGTTCTAAATGGATTGTAAGAAATGGGAGATCTATTAATTTTTTTACAGACCAATGGCTTCTTCCGGATGGATCTATTAAAGAGTTTTGCACTAGACCTCTAACTCGGATGGAGGAAGAAAGTAAGGTGTGCTATTGGACTATGCATGGGTCTTGGGACTTTGATAGACTGGCTTCTATTATCCCTGCAGATATATTTCAAAGGCTCATAACTTTGCTGCCGCCAATGGACACTGCAGGAGATGATATATTATCCTGGAATGGTACAACAGATGGTGGCTTCACTGTGAAGAGCGCCTATTATATGATCGAAGGGAACAATTCCACTACCTGCAGCCATGTGTATAAAGCAATTTGGAAATGGCAAGGAGCTGAGCGCATCAGGATTTTCTTATGGATAGCTTTCCAGAATAAACTTCCGACTAATGAATGGAGGAACAAATGGTTCGCTTGTTCAGCTATTTGTCCCCATTGCAATGCGGATGTGGAGAACACGTTACATATTTTAAGAGATTGTATCTATGCAAAGCAATTATGGAGGAGACTTATTAAACCAAGGTACTATGATCAATTTTTCAGTTCTTCATTGAAAGACTGGTTTGCTTTGAATCTGAAAAGAGACTTGGGGTTAAACGGGAAAGATAGTTGGGAATTAAAATGGGCAGTTACTATCTGGAAGCTTTGGCTTTGGAGAAATGAGATGATTTTTAACACTGAATTTCAGAAACCATGTGAACCGTATGCTGTAATTGAGAATGGGTGGAGAAATTATGTAATATTGCAAGATGATAATAAAGTTGCAAAGACTATGGCAACTGCGATTTCTTGGAGTCCCCCAATTGCCGGATGGATAAAGGTTAATGTGGACGGTGCCATGACTGCAAATTTGAGAAAAGCTGGGTGTGGCAGAGTCCTAAGAGATAGTAATGGTACATGGATAGTAGGTTTTACTCATTTCATTGGTTTTTGCACTGCTATGGAGGCTGAACAATGGGCTATCTTTAAGGGGCTTAAATTAGCCTGAGATCTTGGTTTCAAGAAGGTGATTTTGGAATCGGATTCCAAAATATCAATTGATTTGTTGAAGAAAAGAGGCATCAATACGGAGAGCCTACTTTGTCTCCAAATAAGAGAGTTCATGAAGAATGACTGGGATCTGGAAATACGGAACATCCCAAAGGAGCATAATCAACTTGCAGATTCGTTGGCAAAAGGAGGCTTATCTAACTCCTCTCTTTTTGATTTGTGTCCTCCTCATTTGAGGACCTTGTTTGAAGCTGAGTGTTTGGGATATAATCCCCATTAGTTTGCTGTTTTAGTTTTTTGGGCTCCTGCCTTCTTGTTTACCAAAAAAAAAAAAGGGGGAGAAAAAAGGATAATTGGGTCACTACAGGCACAATGTTCTGCACATGCATAATAACAGTAATCCGCACATGCCTCGTTGAATTGGTTCCCGGATTGTGCAAAAGCAAAAGAGCATGGTGAAAAAAGCAGTGAGGAGTGGGATAAACAAGATTTTTTACAGATCCATGTGACGTGAGCGGTGGGGTGGGTGAATATCAAATGTGCGAGAGGCAGACCATTGGAAGTACGAATGGGGAGAAACAATTAGTGGAGAAACATGCTGTAATGTACAACACGACAACACTCCCAAGGGTACGTGTCCTTGCTGTAATAATTCAATATTTTTGTGAATATGTTTCTTTTTGAATCTTTATTGCGATTCTTCCTAATAAAATTGTTTGTACGAAATGAGAGAGTAATTTGTTTCAGCGTACTTTGGTTAATGGGGTGAAGTGGAAAATGAGGAAAGGAGCAGGAAGTTATAATACTACCTACGGCTCTAATTGTCACTGTTACAAGACATGTCATTTTTGTCTGTTTTAAAAAATACCTTAATAGAAAAAACATAGATAGTAATTATATATTTGTTTGTTTTAAAACAGGTAAATATTAGCATTCATATATTCATTTGTTATGGAACAAACGAATATGGACATGCATATTCGTCTGTTTTAGTCAAATCAAACGAATATGTATTTTTTTAAAAAAAAATAGGTGAAAATTTGCATATTGTCAATTTTATTCAACTTGCAATTATACACGTATACATACAGCAGAGCTAAAGCATATTATAGCAAATAATAACAGGAATTTAGCACAACCAAATTACATGTTTTTCATATAAATAGAATTCACTTAGTCAACAATTTTAAGGGTCAAAATATTTAAAACAAATAACATCTTAATTAATTAACTTAGTTAGGCAAAAAAAAAACTAAACATCCAAACAAAAAATCAATTTCAAGCTTACTTGCAGTATTAATTAAGATGATTGCAATATTCAACTCAAGTTTTCTAATATAATTTGAAACACACTTCTCCTAACACTATTTACATCCAAAGTAATAAAAATAAAGCTATATACTTGTGTGTATATATAGATATATGTGCTTAAATAGCATCTAAAGCTTTCTAAAATTTAATGTAAAGATTAAACATCGAAAATACTTAATTAACTATTGCGTTCCAACCAAATTGCTCTCTTGGACATTTTCACAAATATCTTATATGCATTTAGGTTTAAACAAGTTTAGTAAGGCTTTTTTAATCATCAAAATGTAACTCAATCAATGTTGAATAATTCCTAAGTGCATTTACCAACAATTGATTTAAATAGAAAACATACACACCCATAAACAATTACATTAATTCCTTTCAACATCCAAAAACTCACATAATATAAAAGACACACACACCTCCATGTCAGTTACCTTGTATTGTGAACAAGCTTAAGATGGACGAGATCGAATGATGACTTCTATGAAAGAAAATGTTGCTCTTGGTCATAGGATGATATGGATAAAGAATGAGGAAGAGAGGGAGAAGAAGAATGGCAAAGAGAGAGAAAAGAAGATGACGAGCTACTAACTAGAGAGAGAAGACAAACTTAATCATCGGATCAGCACTAGAAAAGAGGAATAGAAATCTAAAAAAAAGAGAGAAAGAGCTTGTTGCACATAAAAAAGAGAGAAGAAGAAAGAAAAAGGCACATTTCTGGAACATGTTCAAATCTCTATGAGGCAAAAATAAAATTTGAGTAAAAAATATACTATTTGTCTGTTTTTAAAATAAACAGACGAGTATGTGGGATAACAAACGAATATGGGAACCCATACTCACCTGTTGCATAACAGGCAAGTATGGGCTCCTATACTCATTTATTATATGGAATAGACGAGTATGAAATCCTATATACTCATTTGTTTCTTTTTAATAAACGAGTTTGAAGACCCATTTTTTTTATTTTTCAAAATAGATAAAAATGAGTGACAAAAATAACCGCATGTGTAGTAATGTGCAAGACTTCACTTGTTATAAAAATTTATTTATACACCGTAAACAAAATTTTATAATTAAAATTAGAAGCAATATATTTTGATCAGAACGAGAGTAGAGGCATGGGACTGTGTGAAGCAGGCTGCTCGAGAAGAAGGAAAGATACAAAGCAGAGCCTTCGTATTAATTAGTTTTCGTCCCAAACGGAGGCGCCTCACTTATCCCATCATTACTCTGTTTTGTCACCAAACACAAAGAAAAGTACCCATCAGGCCATCACCAGAATTATTACGTTGTTCGATTCTATTTTTTTATTCCCCAGAATAAATTCTAAAACTTTTATTTTCTTTAGAACATATTTTTTATGTTTTTCAAAAAATAAATACTCTAGATTAATAATTTGTTCCTTATAATTAGAACTGAGAGACAGATTCTTTTATAAAATGGACAAGAGGGAATATTAATTAATTTAGAAAAAAATTACCCTTTCAGATTCTAAATATAAGGTGCTGGACAATTAGTTTACAGATATTAAGAAGCTAATTAACTAAGATGTCCCTTTCATTATTTGTATCGGAAATTAGCCTATTAATTAAAAACCCTCATCTTATAATGTGAAAGGTTTGGAGGAAAAATTATAAATTTATGAAATAAAGGAGACTAACAACTTATATTTAGATCAAAACAAACTTATATTTGAAAAATGGATCAACTATCAATGACCTGTTATTAATTTGGGTGGGATGAAGTGTAAAATGAATCAGAATATTCAGAATCAGAATTCAAGAAAATAGAAAGCAAAGCAGAGGCAGAATCTGAATATACTTCGCACCAAATGGAGGCGCCTGCCTCGCTTATCCTGTTATGATTCTATTTTGTTCTCTCTTTTCTCACCAAACTCTGACCTGTTCGGTTGCCCATTGAACTTGTTTATGGTCTTCTTGCTGTAAGTTAATCTAAGCTGATGGTTTCCTTGAAAGCCTTCCCATTATAAATCATACTGTTTATAATTCGCAAACATCATAATTTATCTTGGATTTTAGCTTAATATTGAATATATTTTTTACTGAAATATACATTTAATTTTTTAACTTTATATAATATTTCAATTTGGTTGTTTAACTTTAAAAAGTATATATTTGATAATCGAATCCTAAAATTGTTAGACTTAAATGACCTTTTTTTTGTAACAATCATGACTGTTTATAAAAATTAAACTTAATATGTTAGTATTTAAAAATGTTTTATCAACATTTTAATATCGTCATTTTTTTTGTTAACAATTTTAGGGTTAAAAGACTAAATATATATTTTTTAAAGTTAAGAAGCTAAATTAAAACCTTGTATAAATTTAAAGAACTAAATATTTACTTTGGCCTGTGTTTTTTTTCCAGAGAATATGATAAAAATATTAAAGATTGATATATTATTAATTTTAATTATTTTATCTTGTTTAAGAGACAGTATTCGTTAGCACATCTTGGAGCCAACATAGAAAGCCTGGAAGGTATAGAAGTGGGGTCCATTACTTGAGCAGCTGATGCTTTAAGCCTTTAACCCTAATGATTAATCCATACATTCATGTGGAAGAAATGGGCCTTACTTTGGGTTGTTGGGTCGTAGGCCCTATAAATTATTGGGCTCTGCAGGCCTTAGCCCATTGAAGGTGGGTTGGAGGATGCGTTTTAGTCTAGGAATTCATCTTAGGAAAAAGAGGAAGAAAAATCTGAAAAAAGACTTAGAAATATCTAGCGTAATACCTTTCTCTCTTTTCTTGCCTCGCTTTGTCGATGATCAATCATTTGTGTTGGTAAAACGTTTATATCTCGGATTCCGTCAAACTATTTCCTTCTTTTTGTCTGGCATTTTCATGTGCAGCATTCGTGAGTTTGTCTTCATGCCGTCGGGGTTTTGATTATCCTGAATCACGGGAAACTTATGAATTGCTTCGACACTGCCTCCACCGGACAAATTCTTTGCAGTTTGTTGATCGCTGCTTCGTAAAAACGCATATCTCCGCTCCATCAGGTTGCGGGCCTCGGAACGATTGAGATGCAGCCTGTCAATTTTTCTCTAGAATAAAGATATTACCGATCTCTCGTCGGTGAGTGAAAATTTTCGTATTTCTTTTGGAATTTTGACTTTTATATCTTGTTCGCCTTTGGGTTTTTTTATTTTAATTCTTCATGTCTCCCCCGTCAATAAGATAGTTAATTCTTGAAGAAGAATAAAATAGTTCTGCTTTAACTTTCTGTCAGACCTGACGGTATGATTGAATTCATTTCTGTTTTCAGCAAATACAAGAGAGCTAGAGCATCATCTGCAATTTGACTCAAAGAAAAAAGTTTTGTTGAATTGAAGTGATCATCAAATAACTAGATCATAAATTCGTAATATAGCTCCTTGAATGTTTCTTTTGTATAAATTCTGTCCTTGTCCACAAAAGTTGATGTGATCACCTATTATCTTGTTCTAAAGGTGGACGTTTTATAATGAATGCTTCATTTAAATGACTTCAGGCGGTTGAGGCCTTCTTGCATAGAGAATTTTTTTGATGGATAGCTTGCCAGAACATCTAGTTTGGGAGATATTGACGAGGATAAAGAAGACCAGAGACAGAAACTCTGTTTCACTAACATGCAAACGCCTTCACTACTTAGATAATGCACAGAGACATTCTCTAAAGGTTGGATGTGGAATGGATCCTGCCAATGATGCCTTGACGTCCCTATGCATTAGGTTTACCACCTTGTCAAAAGTAGAGATTACATATTCTGGTTGGATGTCTAAACTAGGAAAACAATTGGATGACCAAGGGCTTCTCATTCTTGCATATCAATGCCCTTCTTTGTCTGATCTCACCTTGAGCTACTGCACATTCATCACCGATGTAGGTCTGCGCTGTTTGGCTTCTTGTTCCAAATTGTCATCTTTGATGTTAAATTTTACTCCTAGAATCACTGGCTGTGGTATACTGTCTCTTGTCATGGGTTGCAAGCACCTCTCTAGCCTTCACCTCATCAGATGCCTCAATGTAAGCAGTGTTGAGTGGCTCGAATACCTTGGCAAGCTTGAAACACTTGAGTTTCTCTCGATTAAAAATTGCAGGGCAATTGGCGAGGGTGATTTAATAAAGCTTGGCCCTGGTTGGAAAAATCTGAAAAGGTTACAATTTGAAGTTGATGCTAATTACAGATATATGAAGGTCTATGATCGATTATCTGTGGATGGGTGGCAAAAGCAGTGTTTTCCATGTGAAAATATGCTGGAGCTAAGCCTGGTAAATTGCATCATCAGCCCTGGGAGAGGCCTTGCTTGTGTGCTGGGGAAGTGCAAGAACTTGGAAAAAATTTGCTTAGACATGTGCGTTGGGGTAAGGGACTCTGACATTATTTCTCTGTCCGCAAGTTCAAGTAATTTGAAGTCTATTTCATTCAGAGTTCCATCTGATTTTTCCTTACCATCCCTCGCAAACAACCGGTTGACGTTAACAGATGATAGTCTGAAAGCCATAGCTCAAAACTGTTCAAAGCTTGAATCAGTTGGGATCTCTTTCTCTGATGGGGACTTCCCCTCATCTTCTCTGTTTAGTTTAAATGGAATACTTTGTTTAATGCAAAGGTGCCCGGTTCGTGAGCTCGCTCTTGACCATGTATATTCCTTCAATGATGTGGGCATGGAAGCTCTTTGCGCGGCAGAGTATCTTCAATCCTTGAAACTTGTGAGATGCCAGGAAATTAGTGATGAAGGGCTGCAGCTTGTGAGCCAGTTTCCTAGATTGCGCGATTTACATTTAAGCAAGTGTTTGGGAATTTCTGATGAAGGGTTGAAGCCACTTGTTGGATCGTTCAAACTGGATTCGTTAACTGTGGAAGATTGTCCTCAGATTTCTGAAAGGGCTGTTCAAGGAGCGGCTAGATCTGTGTCTTTCAGGCAAGATTTATGTTGGATGTACTGAATTTGCTGGTTTTTATGACCACTTTTACATCCAGAATGCTCTTTATTGCGTCTGTTCTCTGTGTATATGATATACTTCTCGTGTATTATTTATTTCCATTGTATAATTCATTCATCTGTCATACAATATATCTGATTTTATCATAATATAATTCATGTATTCCAGCCAAATATTATGCTTCATATTCAATCTGCATTTTTTATCTTTTTAAGTTGGAGCCATGAATAATCAAACATGTAAAGATGCAACCTTAAGGTCAAACTTGACATTGGATGGAACCCCCGGGTATCGAAGCTTTTCTCCTCAAGTTGATATGGAAAACCAAAGAGAAATATATGTTGTGATATTTGTATGCTCATTGCTCTTCATTTTCTGTCGTGTATTTGATCTTCTTCTTCCTTTTTTGGGTTTGGCAAGCTATTGCTTGCAAGCACGGATTCGAACGTGAGAAGTGCCACCATAGGCCACAAAGGTGCTGGTTTGCTTACACGAACCAGCTAGACCTTAAGCCTTAGATGGGGCTTTTGTTATATGATCTAGTCTCCCTTTTTGTTTCTTTTGAGCAGGAAACTATATGGTGTTAGACCATAGAGAAATAAAAATATGATTCATTAAGAATATTGCTTTCATTACACATATGAACAAATAACGGGGTTCCCTCTCGTAAGGTGGACTTAGAATTCATGTTTATCTTATGAGTATGCTGAAAACATGTAATGAACTAGTCATTCATGAGTGAATTGATGTTTATAAAGCGGTGGTTCCTATGGTTCCCGCTTCCAATAAAATTAAGAACTTTTGCAAAGTTGCAGCAAAGCATTACTTTTCTGCAGCTTCTACTCCAAAACATCTTCAACCCATTTTAAGTCCCTGTATTGGGATTGAGACTGAGAAAATCTATTAAAAAAGTGTTTAACATAATAGATTGCTTGTTATATGGGATTAGTCAAACTCATGTATGTAGGATTGGGGAATACCATGGGAAAAAGTAGTATTCCCTTTCCCACCTCTAAAGATTTGCCTAATCCCATGTAACAAGTAATTTCTTATATTAAATACTATTTTAATGATTTTTTTCAATTGTAATTCCAATTCCTGCCCGTTATTTTCAATGCTTCATACTAAACTTATCAGTCTACTACAAACTTCTCCTCTGTAATCTACAAAGCCAGCAATGTCAAGCCCTCCCAACCCAATACCATCCCAGTGGTAAGCATCTGAAATTAAGTTACACGTTGCTTAATCCTAGTGCGTCTTTCATATCTCGCAACTTTGGGTCTTCTATCACTTTTTTGAAAGCTTAATAAAGCAATGTCAGCATTTGAAAATCCTTCGATTGAGTAAATTTGGTTACATCTCGATTTTCATGGGAACCATCATACATGAGCAAACACTTTCGTACGATAGTCTTGTGTGTGGTTTTAAATCTAGGTTCATAACTGTGATTTTGGAAACCGTACTGTTTGGAAACCACTCTTGACAAAACATGATTTTTAGCCTCTTGATGTTTTTCCGAACAGGCACTTAACTAACTTTATCCAATACTTACTTAGAAAACATCTGACCATTTCGTAAATAGTCTATCTATATGTTGATCTATGTTGGGGAGTTGGAATTCTTTCATCGTTCTTCCAGGTCTTTATAAGCCACCTTAACGAAGAGGCTATCATCGCTCGAGGATCTCCGACAAACAATGTCGGCTGACACCATGCATCATGCTTGACCTTGGAATTTTCTCTCTTCACTTTTCTTTTTCCCTTTGCTCAGTATACGTATTTTCCTATTTGAGATAATTCTATTCGCAACACTGTCGAACACTTCTCCTGATAAGAATTCAAATCTTGTTTTACTATATTGTAATAGACTAAATCATTTTACTGTACCCAAAAAACAAAGGCAACATTGTAGGTAATGTTAAATATTTTGTGGTCCTATATTTTAGTATTCCAAAATCAAATGTAGCCCGGCTGCTATTGGGCAGAGTCCACCAATTATACATTATTTATAATAAAAAGAATGTGACGATTCAAGATTCAAATTCTCATTAAGCTAGATACCCACGTTTAACATGTGCCTAACAAAAAAAAAATTGTGGGCATTATCGATAAAAATGATCTATAGTATTATAAATAGATGAGAATAAGTGAAAAATGGTTGTGAAACGTGGAAGTAGATGTAGGAGAGAACAGTGGGAGAACCTGGTGATAAAAGAGAAGAGATGCTTTCCTTTGACCTACAATCATATACTTCCCAGTGGGGTTACCAAGTTACAGAGGTATACCATTTTAATGAAAAGCTAACGTTGATGTCTCAGAATATCCTAAACAGAACCTACAAAAAGGTTGCATTATTTCTTTATGCTGTAGACAGTTCCCACAGAAAAAGCCTTGCACCAATTTGCACATCACTAAAGTACAAACATTATAAAGATATCATTATCACACGCCTTCTTTGGGATCTTCTCTTCCACTCTCTCTCTCTCTCTCTCTCTATCTTTCTCAAACCCCGAAGGCCAAGGGCAAACCCTACTATACCTACTTCTCTCCATGCAAGGCCCAGTCTCTTGGTCCAAAGAGTGAGAGAGAGACAGAGAGAAGGCACTGTTCAAAACACTAAAACCTTCGCGTGCTTCGCCACCTTGTCTTTATCCTAAACTCCTCAAAATATAAACCTCAACCTCGGTCTCTCCATCTTCATCTCTCTCTCTCTCTCTGTCTCTCTATCTTTAGTTTATGCTATAAGTGTGTGTTTGCGTTAATGGGGTGTTATATAGACCGACATTCTTTGTGGTTCTTAGGGTATGTTTCTTTAAATATATCAAAATATGAGGCAGAGGAGGCCACTTTCGAAGCTACCTCGGAAATTAGATACTGTCATTATAAATATATAATTATATATAGTGGCTAAGGCTGAGAGAGAGAGAGAGAGACAAGGGTTTTTGTGTTTTGTATTCTTTTGCATGGACACTCGAGAAAGCCAAATTTTTAAAAAGATTGACTTCCAAGTTCAACTAAAGACAAAATAATGTGAATCGCTTTAGACCTTTACCTCAGTCCGCACAATGTTGTTATAATCAGAAAACATTAGTAAACGACACATATGAGGATGCATGCTAATTTTTTTCTGTCTATGTTTGCGCCTTTTGATTTGTACCATTATGTACAATGAAAATCAAAGTTCTCTTTTGAGAATTTAAAAAAAAAAAAGGTTTATAATTATATTCATTCAAAAGAGGATTCTTGAGCAAGCAAAGGCACATTGTTTTGGCTGCATTTTATGATTCCAAAAGCTCGCCTTCCCAGCTCCCTCACGTGGCCATCACGTGTTACTTGCAGGCATAATAAGCTGAAACCTTATTTTCCCCTCCCCCAACAAGGAGCCTCTATGTAACATCCAGTTTCACAAATAAGAATTCTGATTAAAGGTTTACTTTAGATTTAAATATAAAATTTTAATTATTTTTATCCATCTCATTAAGTATTTTTTTAATGTAAATGGTTAAAAACTTAAGAAAATCAATTCAAAATAATAATTAAATAGCTAATTTAAATATTTTTTATATGTATGAATTAGTTAATTAGTTTGTATACAAGATGTAGAACTTGATGGCACATGTTATTGTGATAAAATAATGTAGAATATGAATCATGGTACTTATTTATTTTGGACAAGCACATGTTCATGGAATATTTTACTCAAGAAGACAACTTGATGGAAATTAATTAGTTTACAAAGGAGAACATCTTTATTTTTCCATTGTCCTTTTAATATTTTTCAGCCAACAAATTAGAATCAACAGAGCTTTAAAAAAATATTCAATAATCAGGAAAAAAAGCTTAATCTGATGACAATTTAGGCTTGTTTTTGTCATACATGCACTAAAGTTTTTTCGAAACAAACTCGATATACTACCTCCTATTCTTAATATAAAAGTTGATATATTGAGTGCAGTTTAAAACATAACATATGAATTTATTTTGTCCATCATCCTTGTAATTTTTTTCAAGTTCTGCATATTGATTATACATGTTAAGGGAGTTTGTATTAAAAGATAATTTCAATATAAATAATTTAAGACTGTATCTTTAGAAAATTAATTTATATTTTGAACAAATTACTATTTTTTTGATCCATTTAAATTAATGGAGTGCTCATGCGAGGACACGAATGAATAAGCAGTAGGTGGCGGTAGATACTTTGTCAACTATAAATTATGCTAAATCATTGAGGTTTTGAAAATATGAAAACCATAGACGCACTTACACAGGATTTGAATGGTTAAGTGTATTCGAAAAGAGTGATTTATAGCTGTGATTACTCATTTTTCAAGGAATGAAGAATAAAGATAGAGAAGAGATCCTGAAATGGCAATGCAGATGCTTAATTATGAATGCAGAAGGGGTTGACGAAAGCATCTGAACAATAACTCAAATCACTTTGATTGCCTCTCTGCTCATAACTGCGTTTTTCTCCCATCCAATCCATCACTCTTATTTCTTGACCTCACAAATCCCCCTCATTACGCCATCAAATCTTTTTCCAAAGGTTCTGCTTTTTGTGTTCTCTTTATTTGAAAAGCTCTTATAGTGCTTTGTTCGGTTAAAATCGCGTAACACTGATTTACTTTTATCTCGGTTTCAGTTTACACAATCAACTACATAAAAATTGGTTTTCTTACCATTAATCAAGTAAGCTAATATTAGATGATGAAATCAAATTACTTTTCTTTGACGCGTCTCCGTTGAATCCTTTCATTCCCAACCCTCAAGATCATCCCATCTTTCCGTCCTCATCAGTGAATTTACGGCCATGCCCCTCTCACCATTCCCCACTCCTTAGCTATAGGGGTATTTACGTCATTCTGCACCCTATCTCTGCACCAGTGGATTATAGATTACGGTCATTTCGATATTGACAGCAAGATCTTCCGTTTCACTAATAAAATCTCTTTTTCGTTCTTTCTTTCTTTCGATTGAAACTTTTCTTACTTTCCAACTCGTATAAATGGATTGCCATTGAAGACAATCACACAAGTCTCACAACCATCATCTTCCTCGCTCTGAAGAAAACATGAACGGCACTTCCTTCTTCCTTCCAGACCCCACAACGCCATGCAGCTGGATTACCACCACAAGCCTGCCACCTTCACCGCCACCTCTGGAGGGAATCGCCGCC